CCCCCCCCCCCCCCCCCCCACCCGACATTCTCTCTTGATAGGATAGAAACAACCTTAACATAGCGTTTAGAAGTATTTCTAAAAAAATTAATATTTTATGTTTTAAATTATTTTAATATCTTAATTTTAAAAATATTTTTTTTAAATAAAAAATATTCCATTTTAATATAAAAATACCTAAAAAAAACAACTACAAGTATACACTCAGTAACAGACAGACTCTAATCTCCATACCAAAAGGCACACAGCTCACCAAAACTAGTTTTTTAATCAATTCTCTTAGAATCTCGTTGCCTTTATTAGTGAAGAACTGTAAGTTGTCCCTTGAGGTGTTTAAAAGCTCAATTGGAAGTTTGGAATTATATGGTAATTGCATATTTTGAAACTTGATCTACCATGATTGGTCATTCGAATGATTTAGGATTAGAATCAAGCTAAGTTAAAAAAAGAATTTGATTTGATCCGGATGACCCGGTGAATTGATCTAACAACTTGACAAAATTTAATTATAATTTATTAATTTTTTATTTTTTTTATTAAAATGATATCATTTTAATTTTTTTAAAAGGAATTTAACTTGACAAGCTAATAATCCAGTTAAAACTCGAGACTCCAATCTTAAACTAAAACAGATCTAAAAACTATGAAAAATTATGTTTTATGTTTTAAAATCAAACTGAGATAACAAAATGCATGTTAGTTGATCTTGAACTCCTAACTCAACTTAATATAAAATCCAACTCAAACTAGATTCTGATCCTTAAATTAATTTGTTGGGTTAAATTTAATAGCATCGAGTTTTACCGGTTCAAATACAAAGTTGGCATGAACATAACATTATATATGATTGTATTTCTGAACAAAAAAGTGCTAGAAAAATAAAAAAAATACCAACAAAAAAAATCTCGTTGCTGATATTTATTAATAAATAAAAAAATAATGATAAAATAAAAAGAATAACAATTAAATCTGACAAATAAAAAAAATTAAAAGATAATGAATTTAAAAAAAATTAATTTCATAAATTATTTCAAATAAAATAAATCACAATAAGAAAAATAAATATTAAATCAGATAAATAAAAAAATTTAATTAAACAATAACTAGAGAAAAATAATAGCAATAAAAAAAATAATGATCAAAATTGATATAAAAATAAAATTAAATCAGATTCTAAAATATGAAATTGAGAAAAAAATAAAAAAAATAAAATACTATTAACTAAAAGATTAAGAATTAAATTTTATATAATTAATAAATAATAATATACTTTTTAACTTTTTATAATTTTTAAAATGTATTTCCTATTCAAAATAAGAAAAACATCTTTTCTAAAAATGAAACTAAATTTTTATTTGATCAGTTCTGAAGCTATAGTGAAACAAGGAGCATTAAATCCTATGTATTGTTGAGAGGAGAAGTCAAATCCTGTAAGTAGATAGTGCCTTTTAATGAATCCTCTAATAAAAATAAGAAAAGGTTAGACTGAAACAGGGGCATTAAACCCTGTGTCATTGGTGAGGCAAGAAATCCATAGAAATAAATTTTTAAACATCACCGAAAATCAAATGATAACCTGCGAAGCTATAAGCAACCTTTTCCCTTGGTATCTACCTGCAAAACTACAAATTTCTTCCTCAAAATTCTGCTCGCGCGAGGAATTTACGGGTGGATGTTGTTGGGTCCCACGTTGCAGGGAGCAAAGACTGACGCCCATTGATGCCAAACACATTATAGCTCGCCCCTGTCGTTTTGTCCACCAAAATCTCCCCTGGATATCCCGGGGAAGCCCCCTTGCCGAAAATACCCGTGCACGCGCTCACAGCCTCTAGGGGTGCGCTAGCTGGCCCTTGGAAATATCCGTTACTGTTCCCGCTGGAACCGTGGCCAAATTAATTATTATGCCGTCACCGTTACGAGCTGCTAGCGGTGGAGCCTGTGGCCCGTAAATTGGCTAGTGGAAAGGCCAGCCGCACTAACCTGGACACCGAGTCACGGAGTTACCGCCCCACGCGTACACAAATATACCCATCTTGTCCGGACCCCACACTTGCTCATGCTATACCCAGCAATCGCCACGTCAGCAGAGGTCAAAACAAGGTTGATTGCATTCTCACCGTGGCCAGTTTTCGATGCTAGAGTAATTATTTGTGGGGTTTTTTTAGTAACTTTGCCAGAGGATAATTTTTTTCGAGGAATTTTTTACCAACAACTACAGTACATGGTCGACCTCTGTACCTCCGAATAGTTTGCCACCACGTTTAGATAGTGTTTGACAATATAATAGTAATTATTTTTAAATAATTTTTATATTGAAATATATATAAATAATATTTTTTTATTTTTTTAAAATTATTTTTAACATCAATACATTAAAACAATTTAAAAAATATAAATTATATTAAATTTAATAAAAAAATTTAATTTTTTTTAAAAACACAAGTTAAACTATATTTTTAAATAATTCTAAAAATATTACCGGTAAATAATAATTGAAATTATGATGAAAGTTAATTATTTTTAAAATATTTTTTATTTAAAAATATATTTTTTATTTTTTAATAGTAGTATATGAAAATAATTTAAAATTATAACAAAAATTAATTAAAAATAAAAAAATAAAAATTATTCAAAAATATTTTTTAATTAAAAATAAATACTAAAGACACTCTAGAAAAGCGGAGGAATTCAACGATGATGGAGCTTCGGATTGGTGGGAACTTGCCGTAGCAGATTATATTTACTGTGATATCGCCCTTGAGAAGTGGACTGAAGTGGTACTTGAAAACTAGAGGTTATTCTTCAACTAGACGTGTTTGACAGTGTATTTTAAAAATATTTTTTTAATATATTATTTTTTTATTTTAAATTAATATATTTTTAATGCTTTTAAATTATTTTGATATATTGATCTCAAAAATTATTTTAAAAAATAAAAAATATTATAAATATTTTTTTAAAATAAAAAATATTTTTAAAAATAACTATAATTATACTTCTAAACATATTATACAAGAATACATTCTACAGCAGCTTCTCGTGGCTAGGACGGGGACAAAGTAGAGAGAGTGTGTGCAAGAAGTGAAGTGAAAATAATTATAAATGGGAAACGGAAGCCATGGAGGGTTTTACATTGTATGTTTGAATGGGTTTAGTTTTGAATTTCTTGGTGATGGAATGTTCTGGAGCGGAGAGAATAGGGGTAAAAAAAGTATTTATAAAATATATTTTATATTATGTTAGCAGTTATTTTTTAAAAAAAAGATATAATTTTTTTTTTAAAATACACTTGAAAGAAAAGGGGCATGCAAATTGTTTATGAATGGATTTAATGGCGAGTGGGATTTGACTTTGTTGGGCTTCAAGGATGCAGGCGAACTATGAGGGACTTGGCCAATGGTATGGTGTAACCATCGAGGGGGGCATGGTCTTGGGAAGGAGCTGACTTTTGAGTCTTGATCTGATCCAAAGAGTTAATGCTAGCGTTTCTGGTAAGATACTGCTGGCTCCTTCTTCTTGGAGCCTTCATTCTCTAGAGTCTTCCCACTGATCACGTATTACAAGTTTTAACATTTTAATTACTTTGCTTTCTCTAATTACGTACTTGGAAATCAGTAATCTTTGGTAAATCGAACTTATCAGGAGATACACGGTTAGCAAACTAACTTTTCGTTGTTAAGAGTAATAAATAAATAGATGAAGGGCACCGTTCGTTTTACTTTTATCCTAAACAGATTGGTAATTTTACAATATATTTATTATTAATATTTTTTATCTTTAATATTTATTTACATTTAATTAATAAATTTAATTTTTAATTAATAAATATAATAAAAATAAAATCTATGAAATAAAAATATTTTATAAAAAAAAATAGAATTTTATTTTATTAAAGCGATTTACGAGCTAACAATTATGAAATTTTTATTACAGAAAAACCTTATTCACTGTTGAATTTAGAGAACTTATCATGGCAGGATTGTAAGAAAAATAATTGACGAGTAAAATCAATCTAGTGTTGGAATTTGAGAGGTATGAAAGAATTA